CTTAGTTATTTAGAGGAACTTTTGGGAGAAACAAAAGGTAGATATTTTAGGAAAGAAAGACGGGGATTTGCTAGAGATAAAGCGAAGGGAAAGAATTAGATAAATAGAGATACAAGAAGGAGAAATATAAGGAGAAGACTTTAGAAAAGAGAAGGAGGAGGAAAATACAGATACAGAATTAAGGGAAGGTGAGAATCAAAATAGGGGATGACGAGGCTTAAGAAATCTGGGGATAAAAGAAGGCCACAGAACCGAGGAGAGACGGAAGAAGAGTGAGAGAAATAGGTGGAGGAAAGAGGCTCGAAATAAAAAAGAGGGAGAGAGATATGGTGATGGGCAGATATGAAAGGAGGAGAGAGATTTAGAGAAATGGTGAGGAGCAGCAGTTTGTTTCAGATGTGAATGGGAGAAGGGAACGGCAGACGAACAGAATGAGGAAGAAGACCTATAACTTGGAAAGAAGTTATAGAAATGAAAGCGAAGCGGGGAGTGAGGGAAATGGAGACGGGGAAAGAGTAAAAGGAATGAGAGAAAGGAACGTAATGATGAAAGTTGAGGGAAGAAATGAAGATTTTCAAATAATGATGAAATAGATAATAAAAATGAAAAAGCTGGGGAAAACGAGGAAGGAAAATTAAATGAATTGTAAAAAAAAGAAATGATATAAAAGAGCAATAGCACATGAGAAATGGCAAAGGGAGGATGGGAAATATTGGTGAAACAAAATACGTATATAAACGTCATAAACGAGATGTAAATAGAGGAAATTATATTTTTTTCACTCAATAGCAGTTTGATTTGTTGAATCTAGAGTGCATTTGCCCTACCGTTCATATTATCCTCGTAATGGCTTTATGATTAATAAATCCAACATCATTTTTTTATCTTTTTTTTTTTTTTTCATTAATCTTTTCGACCTAAAAATCTAACGACACGTGTTCATAAAACATACTTTAATATTCCAAGTTTGAAGTTTATTTAATTGGCAGTTAAGTGAAAAATTACTTTTCATAAAAGCCAATATATATGGATATGTTTGACCCACATATAAACATGAATATTTATACAAATTGAATATAAACCCATTCTGGTATGAATATTGGATGGAATTAAACGCAGTTGAATATTTGGGGGATGGATATTATTTTTGAATGTTTATCACAATCGAATGCGCACCATGTAAAGAATTTAAACAGACACAAATGGAATACATGCATACCTCCGTACAAAAGCTAGGTTGTATAAAAGGATAATATTCATATTAAGTCGAACCTTTTTATGTGAAATTCCTAAGGCACGAAAAGCTAATTTAATTGTTTATATTTTTTTTCTTGTGATTTTTTCCCTTTATCTTTTCTTTTCTTTTTATTTTCTTTTTTCATTGCATTTTGCCTGTTTCCCAATCGTCTAGCTTACTTCCTTTAATATTAGCACTCCACCCTCTTTTTATTCCATCCCTCTATCCCCACTTTTCCTCTTCCTATCCTTCACTTCTACACCCCTCCACTCTAACCACTCTTCTATTTTCCTACTCCCTTATTTTCTTCTTTCTTTCTTTTTCAGTTTTTAACCCCTTCCTCAATCTTCCATCCCTACCCTTATCCCCTACATTGCGCACACTCACTCCCCCATTCCCCACCATTCCGGTTCCGACTCCTAGCCCACTTCCCCTCCCCCTCCTCACCCAACCCTGTTCCCCTAGTCTTTGATAATCCCAACCTCCCTTGACCCTCCCCCCCCACACACATTGTGCCCCATACCCCCAACCTCACCCCCTAACCCTTTGACACCCCAACGTTTCATATCCTCTACCACCCTCAACCCCGCCCACGCCCGCGCATCTCTGCCACCTTCAACCCCGCCACGCCACGAACCTCTGCCACCTTTTAACCCACCACGCCCGCCACCTCTGCCCCTCAACCCCGCCCACGCCCACGTACCTCTGCCACCCTTTAACCCCACCCACGCCCACGAACCTCTGCCATCCTCAACCCCCGCCCACGCCCGCGCATCTCTGCCGCCTTCAACCCCGCCCAAGCCACGAACCTCTGCCACCCTTTAACCCCACCCACCCCCGCGCACCTCTGCCACCCTTTAACCCCACCCGCCCACGAACCTCTGCCACCTTTTAACCCCACCCACGCCGCGCACCTCTACCCCGCCCACGCCCACGAACCTCTGCCACCCTCAACCCCACCCACACCTACGAACCTCTGCCACCCTTTAACCCCACCCACGCCCACATACCTCTGCCCCCCTCAACCCCGCCCACGCCTACGCACCTGATATCCGTCGTAAGTCCAAGACGCCCACTTCATCTTGCAGGACTGGATGTCGAAGGGGAAATACTCGACGTTCATGTCACACGATGACCTGTAGATCCCGTGTGAGAGCCACGTGACCTGACCCGTCGCCGTCACGATCACGTTGGTGTTGATGGTGGCTGATGTGTACTGGGCATCGGCGCTGAGAATAGGGAGAGAGGATGCCCGTTCATCAG